GCCCCGCTCCTCCGTGAAATGCAAACGGGAAGGGGCCATACTTCCTCTTCCTGGTTTTTTAGGTTCAAAACCTCAATGCTGGCAGCGCGGTGCTGGAGTTCCTCTGTTGGAGGTGGTGTCAGCATGGACTGAGTGTCAGTTCTGGATTCTCAGCCTGTTTGGGGGGCCAAAAGAAAGCAGCTAAATCATCTGGGCTGCTTTTCAGCTGCTGAGTGGCTGCTGGTATTTTCTCTCCAGTCTAACTGTAAACTTTGTTTTGATCTTATTCTCTGCTGTTAACTTGGAAACTCTTCAGGAGGCACTTTCTCCATTAGTAAATTTTGCCTGTTATTTGACTTTAGTTTCTTCTTAATTACTTGTGCTGGTGCATAACAAAGTCTGGGCATCCACCTTTGTCTTTAAAAAGATGTGACGTTAGAAAAAGAGAAAACAAATGTTGTTGTTATAGTGGAGGGTACTCTTATAGAAACACCTTTTGGGTGATGATCAGCAGATAACCTGTGTGTAGCACTTGGTCTAAGAGCAGGAGAAGAGGAACTATCAAGAAACGGGTGTATATCTTTGGAGAAGGAAGGCCACATATAACTCTTAACATCCATGCAGAGCAGTCTCTTAGACTTTGGCATCTCTTACAGACTTGACAAACTACGAAGTGAGCTGGAGGGAACGATCTGCAAATGAATTTGGGGGTGCCTTTGAGATTTGACTAATGATTTGTTCTTTACATACCACCTGCAAAGCACCCCACTACTGTAGCCATGCCTAGATGCTTCTGTGACTTAAGCAGAACTGCACTCGAAGCATGTCAGGGGTGCTGTGCTTCTGGAGCAAGGTAAGAATTATTTTGTAGTAACCTGGAAAGATGCTGTCAGAGAGCATGCTTTTGCAAAGACCAAGTGAAAGAAGGAGAGGATAAGTAAAAGCCAGCTGCACAGGCTGTGTTTAATGATGCAGCTGACACTGCAGGTACCTCTTTTCCATGCTCCTGTAACCACATCTGTTCCATCCTTCCACAGCACAGTCAGCATCTGGAACCTGTCCTCAAAAGCAAAGATACTCCCTGAAACTTGTGAGTTTTGATCTGTTTGGGTAAGGAATAGTGCATAGTGTACTGTGTCCAGGGCCCGGCCCATTTGTGTGGCTAAGAGTGCCTGAGGAATTCACAGAAAGCGGTCGCAGGGGCCCCTTCTAGCTTAGGAGATGGCTGTAACTTCCCGAGAGTGTCATGCTTGGATTTCAGTAGAAGTTGGCTCTTCCACTATAGGTATCAGGAGAATAGATACAAGGATTAAAGGAACGAAGAGCCTTCATCACAGAAGGTTGCCTCTTTGATCTACCAGGCTCAGTAATCTCCAGAACTCAATCTGGTCGTGTAAGGTGGAGATTGTGTTTTGTTAATGTCAGACCTACTTTTTTCCTGTATGGCAAGTGTGCACATACCCTGCTGAAGTCTGGGGAAACTTGAGAGGTGAGAATCTGGTGGCTGTGCTGAGGTAGCGTGATGAACCAGCACTGAAAGACTCTCTAAGACCAGAGCATGTTTTTAAATCAAACAGTAATTATAGTTGGAGTTCCGAGCCAGCTTTCTAGGCACTTGCCAATAACCTGGGTTTTCCAGAAATGTGCTATTTCCAGTAGTAGCTGTTCTGCAGTGGAAATTCAGTTGATTTATTTTCAGTAACTCACAAACCAGAGCAGAAGGACTGTTTTCTTGTCTGCTGTAGCTCTTGGGGGTTGCTTGTCTGTGGGAAGAACAATATTAATGTTAATGGGTCTGTGGGGGACCTGGTGGTGCCCAGTCTTGTGGGGACTTGAAAAATCACTCTCCCTTTTGTCAAGAGACGTTTAAGAGGATGGAGAAAGAGTACAGCGTTAATGAGAAAAGACAGCTAAGTGCCACAAAACTAGAAACAGTAGGTGGGAAACTGGAATCACTTCTGTACGCAACACTCCCAGCTCCTCTGTTTTGCACCCTTGGCGTCTTTTGGCATTTTGGTAGTCTTCTGACGGCCCAGCCCTTGCGGTTGCAGAGGACTGTAGAGTATGATATGGCACACGAGTGCAGTTTGGCTCCTGGGTTTGGTGGCTCAGATCGGCTCACCAGGCAAGGTGCAGAACAAAATATCTTCTGGGACATGGTCGTTTGTTGTCTGGATCCTGCTGAGCTCTGGCTACCTTGTCCAATTGTGGGTAGGGCCTTTGGTATCTAACCAGCTAGAATATAAAACTGCTGCTTCCTCCCATGCATAACAGCATCTGTCCTAAGTTAGCTTGCAGTATGCTGAATATATACGTGTGCGTAGGCAAACGCATACATGCTGACTGTAAACTGTATGCATTTCAGGCCACTCGAGAACAGCAGTAGTAAAAGCGCAGTAATACTTGCTGATTTAAAAAGATGGATTGTAAGATGTCAGTACACTACCCAGACACTTAAATGTCACAAATACAAACTCTCTTACTTGTCTCACTTTCTGACAGCTAGAATAAAATGTTATAGCTCTTCATTGAGACTTGCCTATTTGCAGAAATAACCTCATCCGTGCTGTGGATAAGAAGGTCACCTCTGGCTCCTTTTAACGTAACAGCTTCGGGGCTAGAGCTCGCTCTAGGTTGCGAGACTGTCTGCATTGTCTAGGTGTTTTTAACCCACAGACAGCTGTAAGTGGTAGTGCTTGAAATGTCCAACTTGAGATGGCCGCTCCCTTGTTCTGTGCTATTGCTCAGAGTTTATGTGGTTGTTAGGTGCAGCATTAAATAGTGAACCAGAAGACCGGAGCTCTGTTCTCAGCTCTGTTGCTGATCTGGTATTTGATTTATTTTTGGGGGGTGGGGTGGGGCTTGTTGCTTTCTTTAAAATGAGTAGTGAAGGTCTTGTGGCAGTCTTGCCCAAGTTTCCTTTTCTAGCAGTGTGCGTGTGGCTGAAGTAACACTCCTTCTTCCTGTTCCCTTTAGGATGTCAAGGATGGCAAGATCTACAATGAACAGAACTTCTTCCAGCGAGCTGCGAAGGCAGGCACAGGTTGGTGCTTCTTGGAAGGGTAAGGGCTAGGCTGCTTGTTAGGAAAACTGGCGTGTCTCTCTCATCAGTTATGTGAGTCTCTTGGAAGGCCAGGCTAGAATAAACTAATTCACTGCTTAGTTAGAGCCAGAGTGCTGAGAAGTTTGGTTAAGAGCTGGCGCTCCCAGGAGTGTCTGCGTACCTTAGGACACTGCAGTATTGGCATTTTGAAGCTTTCTTGCTCTACCCATGCTTTGTCTTGATCTCACTGGTAGCTGTTCAGCTCTGCAACCTGACCTGCCTTGGCTCCCTCTCTCTTCTGTGCCCCTTCCATGGGTGTTTCTGTCAGCTGCTGTCTGGTATTTACTCCGTTGACTCAAAAACCTGAGCAAGAGCAAAGCTGACCAGACAACGTGGGCAGGGGTGATGGAGGAATTCATATCAAACCTGCGCTTCTGGGAGGACCATAAAAATCTGCTTCTACATCCCTCTCTCTCTCTCTCCCCCCTTTTTGTTTTACCTAGTCCTATAGCAACCACATGCCTTAGCTTGCCCTGGTATTCCTAGCATACTTTCTGTCTTGTTCTTGCTCTGCAGTGCTATGTGCATTGACATGCCAATGCCCCAGCACATTAGGCTGGCATTTCTGGGACAAGAATCAGTGTGAGGGAGGCTTCCAGCTGTGAACTGCCCAGGGCAGAGCAGGCTTTTGGAGAAAGGGCATCCCTGACTGGGCTCCTTTGTTCTGGTGCGCCTTAGCAGTGTCTGCCGCACTCTGTCGTCTTCTCTCCCTTTCTAGTGGAGAAGTGGAAGAAGTGGCACTCTGTGCCGTTGCTGGGAATCCCCAGTTGCGTTGGCTTTGGACTGCATGCGGATAGCTACAGGTGAGGTGACTCTGCAAAGGGCACAGTTGAGATTTTTTGTCCACAACTGCCATCTTCTTGGGCTTTCCCTCTTCTCTCCTTGCTGTCTGCTATTCCTTCTCTCATTGTCCTCTGGGCTCCTAACCTTATGCACTGCTCCGATACCATTTATTAACAAATGGCTTGTGCCTCTCATGATGCTGTTTCCTTCAGTCCTTGTGTTGCTGGTGAAGTCACTGCTTTTGCTGCTTCTGCCCCTCGGGCCAGAGGACAACTAATCCCTGTCTTTTAAGCTTAACACAAAGGGGAGACTCAGACTGTATATCTGCAATACATGATCGGCATGTCTGACCTTTTCAAGAAGTTTTCTGTTACCAGAAGTTGAGGAAATGTTTGCCGAGGTCAGCTTGGAGTTGAAGGGGGGTCTAATGCAGGTGGATTGCTTGATGCGCGTCTGTTGCAGGGTTTCCAGATCAGGTAGGTACTGCTATGTGCTAAGCCCTTGTCTCTTGTAGGTTTTTGGTGTTCTCTGACTTAGGGCGAACTCTTCAGTCCGTCCTGAATGATGGCTTACACCTACTGAGGGAGAAGGCAGCTTTCCAGATTGTAGTCCGGCTGGTATGTAGAGAACCAATACTTGCTAAGAGACTTTTTTTATGAAAGACCTATAACTTTCTTGTGGATCTTTCAAAGGTGTTTTTAAAGCTGACCCAGGGGGTTGGCTGGGGTCTCGATAAGTAGCATCTCTTGATCATGTTGTAAACTTGAGCAGCATCTTTTGAGCAATATGTCTCCTTGAGGGAGTAAGAGATGTCTCCTTTGGAGTAAGGAGAATGAGAGAAACCTGACACTTGAAAATTAGAGGCTGTGCGACATGGTGCTTTTTGTGCTCCTCCATGCAGCTGTGAGGAGCTGGAGAGGGTCCAGCTCAGTGATAGCCAGGGTGCTGAAGGAGTCTGCGTGGTTCTGATATGCTTGCCTCTTCTGTTTACTCCTAGCTAGACTGCCTGGAGTACATTCATGAAAATGAGTATGTGCATGGGGACATCACAGCTGGGAACATCTATTTGAACCCAGCAGACCTCACACAGGTAGGGAGCGGGAGCAGTGCTGTGAGGAAATGGCGGTGAAGGTGGGCTTGTGAAATGGGACAGAGCAACAGCCAGGTTCCTGCTGCTGGGCAGGGGAGCAGTGCAGTCCATGCAGTGCTCAAGCAGATGCTGTGGTGCAGGATTGTGGGCTATGCTGTAGGCAGAATTCACACCACAGGCACGCTCAGATGTGTACTTCTGGATGTCTTCTAGGTGACCCTAGCAGGCTATTGCTATGCGTTCCGTTACTGCCCAGGAGGGAAGCATGTGGCTCAGCGTGAAGGCAGCAGGACCCCTCATGAAGGCACGATAGAGTTTATCAGTCTGGACAGCCACAAGGGAGCAGGTGAGTCTCAGCTTCTGACACAAGCCAGCAAAGCTCAGCCGTTATCTGCACTCAGAGAGCCGTTCACTGTGGCAGTGCTCTCTGGAGCTAGGGCTCCCTGCTGGCATTTCTGTCACTGCTGCTTTCCAGGCATTCATATGCACCTGGAACCAAGCTCCTATTTGGGCTCTCTCCTCTTGCCTCTCTCTGGGCTGCTGTGTTGAGACTTGCCAGGTCACTCAGTGACTGCAGCAAGAGGTGTCGGGATGTTCCTCCTCCATCTGGAGCCTTGGCTACTGCAGGCGTGTGAGGAATAGAAAACAGGGCTGCTTCATGCTGGCTTGGCAGGGGTCTCTTTCAAGCCAGACTGGATCCCTGCCCAAAACAGATTTGCAGCAGGCTATGTTCTGACCTTGAAGCAGTGAGAGATGAAAAGGCATTTAAATTAGCCAGTTTCTCTCCTGGTTGGGATGCGACTGTTCTCTCCCAGAGTTCAGGCTGGGCAAATCCTCCTCCAGAGGCTAGGAGGTGATTCTTCAACTGTGTGAGTTAGCAGACTCCCAGAAATATTGATATCCTAGAGCACATCTTAATGAAGCTCTTGCATTTCTTCTGCTCTTTAGACTTCTGCCCCTTCATAAAGCTGCCTGTTTTAGAGAAGGGGCACCTCAAATAGAGACTTCCAAGGTTGTGCAGTGAGTGCTGGAATCCTTACTCGCCTTTGGAGGAGAGGTGCTAGCCTGAGCATCTTCTGGGATGGCTCCCAAACCCTGTTTTTTCACATGTGAAACATCTCTTCCTTCCCATCAGGACCATCTCGACGGAGTGACTTGGAATCTCTGGGCTACTGTCTTCTGAAATGGCTTTGTGGCTTCTTGCCTTGGTCTGATGAGCTGGACAAAGTAGAAACTGTGGTGGAGAAGAAGGAAAAGTAGGAGAAATCATCTACTCTCTTGGGAAATGCTCAGCAGAAAGCAGTGAGGGAGGTTTTGTGACTGAAGAGAAATCACTTAGTCATAGTACACTACTGGGATGTGGGTAAATTCCACTATAAAGGCTGAGCTTGGCCAAAGGGTATTTGATGAACCCTGATTTCTGCTCCATTCAGAATGTGGCTGAATTCAGCCTTTTTTATTTTTTGCCCCTGTTGCCAAAGACAGGCTTTTCAGGTGCCTGCTCCATTGCTTCTCACCTGACAGCACTCTGCACTGATTATTCTAGGTACAAAGGGGATGTGAAATGCCTCCTCCAACTGTGCTTCAGGCAGAGATCCATTCCAGGTATGGGCTTGCTCTTTGTGACAGTGGGACTTGGGGAAGGAGGATTGACTGTCTCTGAAGCTAGAACCTTCTCTCTGCTGGGGTGCTAGTCCAGGATAGCTTCCACTGGCGACGGTGACCAAGCGTTGCATGGACCGATTGACAGGCTCCTCCTGTGAACAAATCCCACGTTTTCTTTACAGCAAAACAAGGAGGGCTGCTACCCAGTTATCTGTATTCATGAACCTTGCTGAAGAGGCAAGTGTTCTGCTGGCTTTAAAAATGCAATATTTGGGGCTAGAGGTCATTTCCCCATCCTGTCTTTGAGCTTTGTATCAGTTGCTGGTTTTGTTTTCCCTCTCTGCAGCTGACCAAGGTGTGTGGGTGAACTGTCTATAGGGAGAGCAGCCAGAGAAGGCCGTTCGGCAGCTTTGTAAAGACACCTGGAGTTGCTGTGCTGCTCCATGCGGTGATGTTCGTTGCTTTGCAGATGCCCTACAGAGCTACCTGCAGCAAGCAATGGCACTAGAGTATGAGGAGAAGCCTGACTATGAGGCCCTGCGGCAGCTCTTCAAGAAGCCACTGGAAAAGATGAAAGCTTCAGCTTATGACTCTGTGGATATCAAAATGGTGCCCTAAGTAAGTGCCAGTAGTTTAAACTGCAGCAGCACAAAGCACTTGTCCCCCTGCCAGCACAGGAGCAGCACTGTGCTGCTGACCTGCCCCGTACACCCTGGGGTGCTGCAGGCAGCAGTCAGGAGGTGAGGACAGAGCAGGCTGGTCTGTGAGGTCTCTCCAGGTGAGACCTAAGTGCCCCTCCTGATGCATGGAGGCAGCACTGGCCCTTCAGCGTTCAAATTGAGAGACCAGTCCAGTGCTACACAAAGCCAGCCTTAGCCTGTGTTACAGCATGTGCTTCCTCATTTTTTATGGAAATGGAAAAAATTTTTATGGAAATACTTCTCCTTGGAGGAATACAACAAGTGTTAATAAAGCAAAGGCTGAATGGTCTGCTGGGGTGTAGAGGTGTTAACAAAATGCAGACTGACGGAATCTGGTTCTTTTTAATTTTTTTTTTTGTAAGAACTGAGGCCCTGGGCTGTAACTTTTGCTTTTCCTTTTCAGAAAGCAGCTTGTAGCTCTGGTTTTACTACCTCAGGCCTGTGGCAGTAAGTGGTGGCTCTCTAGGCCCAGGTGCTCTGTTTTATCCATGAGGCAACTGCCAAGATTGAGGCTGGATATAGACAGACTTGGTTTTAGTCCAGGGCTGCATCTAATCCAGGCCCCCTGGATTAAGCAACAAGCCCCAGGAACACGGAGGTAGTTCCTCATCACCTAATTTACTCTTCCTGGGAAGGAATTGAACTGATTAACGTTCCCATTTTGTGTCTTTTCTTTCAGATCAAGAAAACTTGCATAGGAAATGAGTTCAAAGCTTTCTGCAGTGTGAGGCCTTTGCCACAGATGTTTAACTCATACCTGCCCATTTTAGAACTGAGAGAGGTTTTTATAAGTGTTTTCTTCCAATTTTAATGTGACCCAGTGCTGAATTTTGAGCTGCTGCTGTAATAAGTTAAATGTGAATACACTCCTGCCTGGCAAGTCATTGTAAGCAGTAGCTGGAGAGCTGCAGGGTAGCTGCCTGGAGGAGGGTGAAGCCTGGCACAGAAAAACTAAATCAGGGACTTTTTTTTAACTACAGTGGCAGTACATAGTTTTGTAATAAACTTTGTGGACAAACACCCAAGGCTGCTCTCTCTGGGTTATTTGGCATGTTCAAGGCCTTTCTCTAGGCTTGCCTTCTGGGGCTGCTGTAGAGTTGTGAGGGGGGGTTAAGCCCCATGCTACCTGTTGTGCAGGGTGTTCATGATACTAATGTAAATAGCCTAGAGACTACTTAACTTAAACTCTGACTTCATCCTCAACCATCCCATCATTTCTCCAAGCCCCAGGGCAGTGAAATAGGTGAGTGGGATACCAGTCATTGAAGTAAGACAGGGAGCCACCTATATTAAAAAAAAAGTTTTATAAAAAAGTCACTACACCGTGTGTATCTGAACTGTTGCCATCTGCCACAGTAACTTCTAAACAAAGGAAGTGTCATGGAGTCCAGTTCCAGTGTTAAATGCAGTGATGTCTCCTGGAAGTCTTGTACCTTGGTATTTCAATGCTCATTACCTGTTTGTAAAGGAGAAGGCTGTTCTCCTGACGTTCACAGGCTGGAGGAGCTTTAACCCAGGCCTGCTAGGCTGAGGTCAGCGGAGGTGGCTTCTTCAAATTGTTACTGAAGCAGCACAGATTTCAGTTTTCATAGGAAAAGCATATGCTGCCCTTGCAGATTAGGAGCCAGTAGCAAGGCTTAAATTAGAGCTTTCAGTAAAGCAAAGTGCCTGCCCTTACTGAATTGCTGCCGGTTTCTAGTGTTCAAGTGATTTGTGCTTTCCTCGAGGACATATGAGTGGAAATAGCAAGGAAGACTTGTGCGAGACAGGAAATGAAACTGAGCCACGGGCTGGAGGTGGCAGTTCAAGCCCAGCGTTCCAGCAGAGACTGACAGTTCACAGAGATCACAGTGCTGTAGTACTGGGCAGTGAAGCATTAAGGCACAGAAGGAGGGTTTTTCAGGTGAGGAAAACATGGCAGCTAGAACCAGAGGCAAGTGGGGTTTAAAACCATCTGAGAGGTAGGTAAAAAAGAAGCTCAGACCTGCAGTGAGCCTTCATTTACCTCTTGATTGTATCCGTAAAAACCTTGTATCAGTGCAGCAAATGGTATAAACATAGAAAAGGGAAGCACCAGCTGAGTGAGATGGTACCTGGCCAGAAGGAAAAGGCAGCACAACCTCAAAAAGGTCTTTCAAGTGGAAGAATTCAAGCATAGTGTTACATCCAGTAACTTGAGAACCAAAGTCAATTCCTCTCTTTTATAGTGCCAGGCCTTGCAGTGAAGCAAGGGACACAACAAGTTCTTTTCTTATCACCAAGGAGTAACTGGTGAGGTATGACAAAAATGAGCTATAAAGTTTCATAGGTGGAGAAGAATCTTAATTTGCAGGGGATCAGACAATAGGGAAGACTTTAAAAAGGCAGCTATCAAGGAAGGAAGTAGCCCAGAAGTGAGCTATAGAATTACAAGATAGGCATAGGCAAGGTTGAGGGGAAAGGCTCTTTTTGGAGGTAATGACAATTATTCACTATCATCCCTGTATGACTACAACAGAAATACTGTTTCCAGGAATCTTAGAAAAGGAAAGAGCATGAAGAAATCAGAGGCTTAAGAAGCCCAAGTTCACCCTTTCTTCACTGTGTTCTGCCACATTTTTTCGCTTGACTTGCCGTCTGTCACACTTGCCATCACTAGGCCTAGGACAGACTGACTGTAAACACGATTCCAAGTAACGAGGCAGGCATGGCTCCTTCTTCATGGCACTGCCAAGAGGCAGTGCTGAGGTAGGTTTGAGAGGTACTCCAAGGCTGCCTTCTACAGAAGATGTAGGACTGGCACTGTTGACTGAAGAGTAGCCTGAGCTCCCTTCCAGGGTAGGATTTCTTGGGGTGAGATGTGCCGAGAGGCTGCGAGTGTCGTCCAGCAGCTCAGCCTCCCTCAGCGGTGCCGCGTGCCCGGCCCACTCTACAGCTAGGTTGTCTTCATCGCTGGAGTCCTGACAGCAGTGCTCCGCGGGATCCATATAGACCACTGTCACGTCCAGGATCCCACTGGGACCCGTCACTGTGGGATGACAAAAGAAAAAGGTTAGTTTTGATTTGAGCAACACCAAAGAGCAAAAAAAACCAAGCAAGAGCATAAACCCTATGCCTACTTAAATGAGGGTGAACTTAGTGCTCTACCCTCCCCTCCGTGTGTAAGAGATTAACTTCCCCGCCCCAACTGCTTGGGTAGGTACTAAGAGCTGTTTAGAAGATGAACAGCCAGTCCCAGAGTCAGCAAAACAGGTAGTACAGAGTTTCGAATGCCATTCATCACACTTGGTCCACTATCGGTGCTATCTGAAAACTGTCTCACCTTGAAACACTAAGCAGCTACAAACCCCTTCATCGCGTTCTGAAGCGGTATAGGGAAAGAGATGTTTTTAGAGAAAGCCTCTGAAACAGTTTAACACTTGTAACCATGGGGGGAGAGTTTTTCCAACTGATCTTCAGCTGAAAGTTCAGGCTTCTGTTGCCTGAGAAACAGTTTTAAGCAAAGATGAAAAGACTGTTTTAATTCTCTTGTCTGCTTTTTATACGGAGATTAAAACCCTCACCGTCTCCATCTCTCTCGCCTTCACTTTCCTGATCACCTTCATAACCAGAGCAGGAATCTAAACTCCAGTCTAGGAAGTTGTCCAGAAGACTTTCTTCCTGGGTGGATAGCTCTGCTGTGGGTGTAGTCACAAAGCTGCCTCTGTCATCCTGAATGCTGTCTTCTCTCCTCCTGTAGCAAGAAAATCCAGAAGTCACACGTTAAAAGCCAAGTCCTCTTTTCTGGCTATTTTAACAGGTATGCCAAGGTAATTACAGAAAAATTGATCATATTTAAGAATGAAGCCTCAGGCTACCAGAGAGGAGCAAAGGCTCATGCTAATTTCAGAGACATTTACAGTGATGAGTTGTACTAGCCTTTTAGTTCTCTTTCCAGAGGGAGAGCTAAGGAAAGTCTGAATTTCCACCACATTCGTGTGCAAGGGACTGGGCTCTGGGTCCTCCTGTTTCACACCCAACAATGAACAGAGCTGGCTGTAACTCATCATCTAAAAAAAACCAAAAATGAAACAAAGAGCCAGTAAAAATTAGACCATGAGATTGCCAGAAGGAATAAATAGCCAGAAGGTGGCTATTTATTTTCTAGGAGAAGTCTATCCCAGAAAGTTCTTCCCGCATGTACTCAAACAGAGCAGTTATAGTCCCCCGCAGATCAAGTTTAAAACTATCACTTTATTTAGATACTCTCTCCTCCAAAAGTCTAAAAGCTAGAACCCACTTCCCATACATCCTGCCATAGGGTAGCTTTGCTTTGGGTGTCGGACACCAGCAAAGGAAGACAAAGGGCTCGCCCACCTTTTCTTTGCCTATTTCTTCATAACGCTCATCTTCAAATCGTTGTTTCACTGCAGTTAAGGACACCTGCCTATAATCCTTTGGGACATCGTCGTGGAAACTGGAAAGAAAGATTAAAGCCCCAATCTTAGAATGGGTTATAAGAAACAATGTTAACAAAACCTGCCAGTTTAAGCACTTTCCCTCCCTCCACCTCAGCTCTGTGCTAAGGAAGTTGGTGTTTCGGCAGAGCTGCTAAGCAGCTAGCCAGGACACTTGGCTTCTAAGCAGATGAACATCTAATTCCTTTTCTGTTCCTTGAGATAAACTAGGTATTTGCCTTGTACTCTTTAAAAAATGAGATACTTTCGCTGCTGGAACTCCTTCTGAAGCTCACCAATAAGCCAGTTGCAGTCTTCTGAAAATAGTGCTGTTTGGCAAGCTGAAACCTGTTAAGCCTTGAGGAGCATCACATTTTCTGTAACCCAGGGCCACTACCAGTTGGGAGAAATAAAATAGCTGTCCCTGAACCAGCCCCTAAGGCCTTAGTGCCTTGTGCTGGGGGGAGAAAGGCAGTTTCCCAAAGCCACCTCCTTCACTGGGAAGGGCTGACTGTACAGATGCAGCATGTCTGCAAGAGCTGGAATCCAAGTACTCGTGTGCCCTCCCAAGAGAGTTCCAAAACTGTTACCACTTTTGGTGGAGACTTAGCACACAGGGCAACAGGTCTTCAAGGGAGAAACCAGTGCACTCGGACAGCTGGCTGGTCCAGGGGTGTGCTGGAGAAGAGAATACATATTACCATTTCACAAAGTGTAGTAGTTCTGTAATCAGAAAGATTTTTTTTTTAATGGGATAAAGATCATGATCTTTACAAGCTTATGCCCGTATATAGTTTGTTCAAGTTCACCATTAGCTTGAAGGATAGGTTTACCTCCCAAACTGAAGTTGTACCTAAGTATAGAAATTTTCAGTCCCACTGAAACACAAAGCTTGCGTAGTCCGATGCTAATACTCTTGTTCATCAAAGAGGTAAAATAGACCTGAAGCCTTATACCTGTCCCTTTCTTCCCCCCCCACCCAGCGACTAGGACATCTTGCCTAAAGACAAAGTAACACCAAAAAAAAACCCCAAAGGCTCCCTAAAAAGACAAGGCAGACTGACATACCATGCTGCAACTGCACTTAAGGTAAGGTTCCTTACCTTGCCTGTGCAGTAGCTTAGCCAGGAGCAGTGCTGCGGCAGCCAGCCGAGCCGGGGAATACACACAGAGGCTTGTGTTTAGGAGCGACAGTTCACAAATGAAGCTGTACAGGTGAAGAGTTCTCCTCTCCAGCGAGACTATGTTTGACAATACTTCTTTGTAGTCCACAATGGTAGGTATCTAGTGCAGAAAGGAGAGCAGAGGTTGGAAATACAAGACGAGCACCAGGTATTTAGGACAGTTATTTCCAGGAGATGCTGTTTTTATTATATCGGGGGCGGGGGGGTTTATTATTTTTTTTTTGAACTACTACACTGACATTGAAACATTCTCCAGTGAAAGAATAAGTGGCCTCTCAAAACTTAAGTTTTAATCTCTATAGAACAGCAGAGGGTTTTGTATCCGCATGCTCTGAAATATGCATGGTCTCCACAGCTGACTGAGAACGCTCACATAAAACCCCAACATCTTAGATAAGGAGAAGTGCCAATGACAACAGCCTGACTTCAGCAGCAGCCCAAGGGATGAAATATTCCATCCACTTTCCAAACTCACCCTTATCTTTCCTTCTAGGGCAGAAATTATCTCGCCCATCATTCTGACCAAGTCTTCGTATTTGTAAGTGTTGTCTGTTAGCCACACAGCTTCCCGTATTGTCAAGATCTCTTTGCTGATGAAACTGCAATATGAAATAATATTAACAGTTAGCTCCAGGAGAAAGGGAGTTTGTGTGTTTGCAAACTGATGTTTGCGTGGCAAATAAAAGCACCCAAGATGACCAAAGAGTTAAACAACTTTATAAGGTACTTTCCCAGGTACAGATCAGGAAAGAGAACAGCAGCTCTTCATTTATTTAACCTTTAAGCTGGAACCACCTACTAGAACATTCCTCATTTATGAAACCTCTCCTAGGTTAAGATGCAAGATATTAAGGAAACTAACACAGAAGAATAATTTTCCACCACACCATGCAGTTCATACGAGCTTAACAGACTCAAGTAGGTAACACCACCGCTGCAGTTGTTCCTTGTGGGTTACTCGTGCCAACATGGTATGAGAGACTTCAGTTGCTGATGGAACGCATTTAGGCCAATCCACCACTCCGGAGTCTTTTCAGATTTAAAAACATGTTCAAGGAATTACATTTTGTGTTTCATTTGCAGAGACTATGTTTGGTACGTGAACACAGTTCACAAAGAAGCCAAAACTTCTTTCCAGTATTATTATTAGCAAGGGGTGTGTGTGGAATCTTGAGCTGCAGAAGTGCATTTGAATGATCACAATAACCACCTCTGTTCACCAGTCAGAACCCCTACCGTGTGCAAATGACCATGCAGGCTATTCCCAAAAGTTGGAGTCGAGCCCGTGGTACAGGTCTGAGCTTCAAGTAACGATCCACGCATCCCACTGTCATGTGAAGGCATAGGCTAGAAAAGTCTTTCATGGTAGCCACTTCTACCAGCCAATCAATCAGGATGTACCTAGAAAGGAAAGAGAGATGCAGTCTGCGCAGTTAGAAGCCATTCAAACCCGTGACAAACACCCTCCCCATGACTAGTTACTGAGTCCCTTCCCCACTCAAAAGTTCCAAGCCAAGAAATTTCAGCAAAAGAACTTTCAGAAAAATGCCACGTTGCACTGAGATAAGGATTCGCCACCAGAGGCATGTTAATCTCTGATGGGTCAACAGTCGTCTTAAGTCGTTTGTGAAATGAAATTAGAAACCATCCTATAATAGGCACTTGCACAAAGAAAGGGTAGGGCATACCAGTTAGGAGGCTAAAGGCCACCTAAGACAACTAGAGAGTAATTATAGCTCCAACAAGTCAAACAGTGCCTCCAGTTCTTGCAGAACTTGTTAGTCTTGCCAAGTGCAAGAATTTACAGTCCAGAAAAAAACCCTCTCGCCCCTCACTTCAGTTCTGCACTGGGGCTTGAAATAAGGGCTCTGCCACTTCCTCTGCGGAATGTCACATGTTTCTCTGATTGTACAAGAGATTGTACATTTGGTCAGGCACTCCCTCCAGGGAGGTGGTGGAGTCGCCATCTCTGGAAGTGTTCAAAAAACGTGTGGATGTGGTGCTTCAGGACATGGTTTAGGGGACATGGTGGCGCTGGATTAATGGTTGGACTTGATGATCTTGAAGGTCCTTTCCAACCTTAGTGATTCTGTATGTAACGCATCACAGAAGAGCAAAGCAAAAAGTTCCAGCTTCCAACAGACCTCATTCTAGATTTGTTTCCCTCTACACATGTCGAGGGAAATAAGCAACGGTTTCTGCTGTGTGGCCTGACTCCCGGATCGGAGTTTTTACCTCATTGTTTCATTCATTCCTTTCTGCACGGTGAAGATGCTTTGCTTGCTGACAGGAAGGGAAGCTTGAAAGATTTGAGACACCATTTCATTGGAAGATTTTGCTTCTAATCCCAGTTGGTTTCCGTTCCCACAGGCTTTGGCTAACGCTATCTGTAGTAGAGAACACACAAAAGAAAGTAATTTTTTTTACCAAATGCAAACTAAGGCAGCACAGGATGGTCTTGAATACAGAGAGCAAGCATGACAAACTACTTGAATCAGTAGTTCTTAGTTTGGCTTAAATGTTGAAAACACACATTATTTGGGGCAGGCTTTTAAGTCTATCTAAAGATGCATCTTTACTTGGATTATACCACAGGCGTGCAGTATTTTCCAAAAGAGGGGGACTTGCAGAGTAAATGCACGTATAGATATTATTCAGCAATTTTGACTCTGCTTCTAAAGGGAAGAGTCTAAACCTACAATGGCAGGGTAGAAAAGGCCGTTTAATAAAGCCTGTTTTCCTGGGAAAAGTCAGTCTTACCTGTGCTTCCCAGCAGCCCTTTGCTGCGTAGTCTCGTAGCTTCCTGAGACTTTGGAGGTATCTGCCAGGATCTGACATCTACAGAGAGGAATGTAAACAGATTTCAAAACCCATTACCTTTACACAACAAACAGAAGGACTGTAGTACTGACATTGAGAGGAAAACCACTGCCTGTGGGTACATCGATTATTTCGGCAACCAGCCTGTTTCTCAGCACGATGACAATGCTGTTTTTAAGAAACTTTCTTCAGTTCTTGGCCGAGGTCTCACAGGAAACGAGACAGGTCACTTGGGATTCCAACACGAGAGCTTTGGCAGCTTTATTCGTGGCAATGCAGGCAGCCTCCCTGCTCCCAAGTGAGCCATATGATGACTAGTCAGCAGTGCCTGTGCCTTTAGCAGAGTTACTATCAAGGAACTTCTGCTTGCACCTCGGCTACAACTGCTCGTAGACTCACTTACTTTAAACACCAAGGCAGACCCGAAGCTCATTTGAGAGAGTTCTTGGCGCTCTCCTTGTTTACGAAGGAGGTAAGCTCCAAGGAACAGCAATTTCTTTCTGTGTACGTTCATTGCACATAACAGAGGTCCAGAAGTTACAGTGAAAAAGTTGTTTTGAGACAAAAAACCCACAGCTACTTACAGCAACCTTTCTGTTACTTTCCCAAAGGAGGTAGGAGCTGTTTAAACAACCCTGCTTTGAAGATTCTTCAAACATTTCAAGGGATTCTTTTCTTTTTTCTTCATCCTAAGAACAGAAAGGCATGACGGCGGTTTTGCTGCTGTCCAGCCAACTGGATGTCAGATCTCAATACTTCCGAAGCTACGGAACAGCTCTGTCCTGAAAGCTACAGAGCAGAGCCAGCCAGTTGTGAGTCCCCTTCAGACTACGAGGGGTGCTCCCACAGCCACTCAGTGCTGCCATTCGAAGACCCAGGCTCGGGAAGCGGTTAGTGGTTTTCCTCAGCTGGACAAAAGCTTTTTGGCTTGCTTGCCACTGAAGGCTTGTGTTTTGTTTTGGTTTTATATATATATGCATTATAACTGGAAGGCTTCCTTTGAGACCTGAACACACTGCAAAGCCCACCATCAAGCCAAAACTAAATTTCACTGTTTGTAAAATTCAATAAACCAAGTTGATAATGTTCCTTTAAATGACGAGTAAATTAAACTCATGAGAACAGAAATTCCTAAGCCACTGGAGGAATATAAGAGCATTCGGCTTATTTTTTTTTATTGTTGTGTTTAAATCAAGGTAAACAGCATTAGGATCACCAAAAAAAGTACTCAAACACATCAAATCAGAAACACTGCTCACCTCAAAGAGACTCAAGACCTTAGCCAAGCAGTGGAGAATAGATCCTTTCTGAGCCTGAAGAAAGCATCAAGATAAAGCATTGTTAAAGACAAACAAAGAACAATAGCAATTTTTGCTAGTAATTCCAGACTACAATTTTGTTTGCCTTTCAATCATTCCTCCCCCTTGCTTTTCTCAATGTTTTGTTATCATTCAGACAGCACTGAATCTCTCTGAAGAAACAGTACAGGCCTCCGGCAGTCATGATATACCAAGTGTAGTTTGGCAATAAACTCATTTTAACGATTGATCGACAGTCATTTAAGCAACAAGAGCATAGGAGCTCCCTGCGGAAACAAAAATATTTTTTTCCAGAATAATTACATGCAGCTACTAGCCTGTGTTAAAGCCAAGGGCAGAAAGAAATCTTACTTTCTCCAACTGACACTCTGCTTTGAGACTCTCGTAGACCACAGCTTTACAACAGCTTCCACTCAAGGACCAGGGAGGACGGATAAAAAGCCAGATAAACGGGGCTGCACACACATTCAAACGCTCCGCCAGACTGAAGAAGTGAGATGCCTTTAATCCGTTCACTTCTGCACGACCCTCGTCGGAGATGGACACTGAACAACAACAAAAAAAAGCAGCCAGAAATCATTTAGTTTGTTCACTACATGTGCTTAGCATTTAGTCAGGCCAAGACAGACAACAGGATACAATCAGGAAAAGCCTGAACAGCGTCTTCCCTTTAAAGCCTTAAAAATCATGGAGATGGCAAAAGAAGAAAAATCTTACTACAATCAGTCTTTAGGAACACCTAACCCTAAGTTGGGAGGGCGTGTGCGCATTCTGCGAGTACCAGCACTAAAAGCAATGTTAATTCTTGCCAGTGGACAAACAAATGGGTGTGCAAGTCACCTGCCTCGCCAGGACCCTCGGCAAGGAGGCTCCTCCTGCCCACGGCCAGTCCCTCTCGTAACAAGGGTGAGCAGCCAAGTTTGATCGGAAGTTTACACAGGGTAACTCCTAAACACGAATTCACAAGCTGCGCATTGACTCCTCTTAGAAAGGAGCCGTGCCCCAACACATCTAACAGCTAGCAGCTCAGTGGCCAGTGCTTGAGCTGCACCGAAGGGTGAAAGTGAAGAGGAATCATAGTAAATGAGACCTAACCCCCCACTGACGACAGCAAACGGGCTCTGCACTTCACCGCTCCAGAGCCTGGGTACAAAAGCATCAGCGTTTGGTACAGGAGAAAGAGCTTTGTAGGCAGCCAGTAAAAGTGCCAACTTTATGATGAGACAACTAGTTTGATCTGTATCTATAAATAAACCTTTAGCTCATCTACATTTCCTTCTGTCATGCCATCTTCCCCAAAGACCCAAGTACAAGCTCCCACACTTACAGCCTTCGTTGTAGAGGTACGCTATCCCCAGCTTGACAGCAGCTTCAAAGTTACCCCTTTCAGCAGCCCTGAATGGGAAACCGAGAAGATACGCGGGGTTGAAATCAGCAGGTGCTTCCAGGCCCACGTCCTCAAACAGGTTACGTCAGTGGAGGCCAGGCTGTGACCGTGGTGGTCACCAGCCAGAAGCATCCCTGCTTTCACTACTGAAGTTAAACCGAAGTTACGCCGAGGCTTTTCTTGCTGCACCAATACTCTTCCGTATGCCGATGTCCAGGATAATTTGATAATTCATAGGAACCGTTTCCCATTCCCATGCAACGTGCCCAATGCCAGAATGCCCCAACACGTTTTGGTACTTGTACCTTCACGGACACGCATCAAGCCCTCGCACTCCTCCCTTCCAAACCAACGTGCACAGAGTAGTCGTCTTCAGAAAGACCGTAACACATGCACCAAAGCAGCAATAGTCAGAAGGAAAACAATAACCACGACATTCAAACTGACAGATCCCCTTCAAATCAGATGGATAAAAAATCATACTCTCGGTCCTTTTTAAGCGGATTTATCATTACCCTTTCAAACTCACTCGTTTTAATCCCAAAATTTACCTATTTTTCAATATGCTGGTTTGCACAAGCAGTGACCAAGCCATCTCAGAAACATGGTTATGATCTCGAGCCTCTGATCTCACTTGCACGTTCATATGGAAGTACCACTAACTTTGTAGTTAACGTGCTATGTTCCAATATGGAATATTAATGTCCTTAAAGAGAAATAACTTTGGTATATGCAATGGGCCCTGCTCCAGTTAGGAACAGCAGTTACAAGCTGCGCCTTACACATGCAATCAACAATTCTTCATCATCCTAAGCAAAGACTTCTACGAAAAGGGAAAGTCAGATCCCCCACTTACAGTGAGAACTGATCAGAATTGTATAGCTACCTCCAAACACCCTCTTCTACAGAGTCAGGCAAATTTGATTCTTACAGCTTACCTTTCAAACATCTTCAGATTGTTTGGAGAAGGCCATATTTCTTGGAAACTTGCACATGCCCAAACACTAGCATGATTATCCACAAGGTACTTAAGGTGCGAGTGCACCTGCAAGGGGGGAGCGTAAAATAGTAATTACTAAAAATAAAGGGACTGACAGAAAAACAGTTTCTTGCAGTCTAATTTTAGATAGGTAACTAATTAATATAGTTATTAATTAATATTAATATTAATCATAACCTATTACCCGCTTAATCACCATTAAGGCAAGAGGTGCCAAACTAAACTAATTTGTTCCGCCACGGTGATGTAGCAGGACAATTCCCACAGAAAATTTACAGAGAGCACTCAAATACTGCTGCTAGTCTTCTTGAGCTTGAGTACTGAGAAATAAAACTGCGACTGGGATGGCAAAAATCTAATTACTGCGTGTATTCTTTGGTTTCCTTCCCGTTCACTCTGACAGGAGAAGCCAGCCTTCTCCGTGTGCTGGCTCCTAAAGGCAGAGGTGAGGCAGGAGCAGACTCACAGCTCTGACGGAGAGGATGTCCTCGGCAGGAAGACCCTTCAGAACATGAAACAGAACGTCCTCGGGCAGACTTAGCAATGTCAGGACTCGAGGCCGTTTTCTTATCCTTCGCTTTGAAGGGAAAGAAAAACACCTGGAACATCTACAGTGAATCACTGGAAAACAAAAAGACGGGACACCTCGGTTAGTGGTGGAACAGTACAAGGGAAAAGGGCACTGCAGAGCATACACATACATAAACACATAAATTACTTGAGTTACCTGTTTACTGCAGCATAGGATACTTCTTCAAACGTACTAATCCTAGAGAAATTTAGCACGTGTCACATAATGCCATAAGACTAAGGCACAAAGCAGTAAGTGACTCGTTCAATTTAGTCAATTAAGCCAAGAGGCTCAGAAGGGATGGCTCACGCTCAAGTCATCTTCATTGAGGAGAACCCTTCCATGCCCTAACTCCATCATTTGACTGCGTTTAGTTAAACTTTCGCTGCTTTACTCTCCGTTTACCCCCACCTGCAACTTCTCAGTTGATAGTGGTCCTTGGAATGTGACCAGAGAGATTAGGAAGTTAAGACCCAAACCAGCCCCAGCCAACAGCCCAGCTTTCGAAGCAGCCAGTTGCTGCCACAGGTGCTCAGGGAAGATCCCCAAGAACCAGGAAGCCCTTTGCTGAAGCTTCAGCATCTTGTAGCGTTCATAGACTAAGGCATCACCTGCATCTTCCGCTCCGCGTTAAGACAGAGTTTACCCTCACTGCATTCGCCAAGAGAAGAAAACGATCTAACAGATAAGGCAAACCCAAGAAGAGCACACGAGTACCGCTCGCTGGCAGAGACTCACGCTCCGTGGTAGAAAGCCCCATCTCTTTTCCATCTCCTGGGAGCCCCAACACCCACAACGATCCAACTAACGAACGGCAGAAATTCCAATCGGTGAAAGGTGCTGGGGAGGGGTGGGGAAGCACATTCCGCACCTCCAGCCCGCGCAAGCGGCAGCGAAGGATGACCCTCACAGCGTGGCACTTGGGTTGAAGGACCGAAATTAATCCCGATTCGTGCCGTGCCTTTCAGAACCCTGCCGTGCAGCGGCGGAGAGGCCAGCGCTGCTCGTTCCCATGTCAGCCTCTTCTAGCTCTCAGGAGCAGCCCATATGAGCAACAAGAAAAATGCCGAACATTTTCTTTGCAGACATGAGGGCTCAAAAAATAAAGTCTGAAGTGAAAGCTTGTGTTCCACAAATTAAAGGACCACGTCAGGGCCTTTGTCCTTATTACAGAAGATTTCTTGGTCGTGTTTTTTAAATCTGGTCTACATCTCATACAAAGACATTATACTTGGGAAATCTATTTACTGGCTTTTTTTCCCTAAAAAAAGTTTAATAAAAGACACAGACTCCACTAGGGAGCCCAATACTGTGCAACACACACGTGCCAGCATTGTGTACCCTATTTTCAGGAGTTCATTATTAGTTTGAATATTTGTTGATGTAAATGAAAACAGCAGAGCAATAGCAGCAGTATAATACATATACCGAGCCACCCCATATTATCTGTGAAGTAAATGAAGTCAGAGCTATGTAGTCGCACTAGGTTATAGGGTCAAAGGCACAAGCTGAGAGAATGACGCAGGTCTCAAGCTCCCTTTTTACAATGAAAGCAAAACAATTTTACAATGAAAGTCACGGTGAAGATAGAGAATTTTAACGAGGCAAGTATTCTTCTCTGTTAATATTTTTTCCCCCTTTGGCCTGCTCTTCTACTTTAGGTGTTTAACATCCCCTGGTTATAACCTGACATACGGAAAGTGATCTCATAGGAACCTCCGGTCCTTCATGCAGAACTTCAAGTGAGAGACTGGAGAAGCAATACATTGCTTTTCTCTTTGAGAAGATAAGAGCGACAGCTCTTACCAGCTGCAGAGAATGGAAAAAAAAAAACAC